ATCAGACATTCGGGTGCAATCATGTTGTTTTCTCCCTCCCCCCCCCCCCCCCCCCCCTGCCATATTAGTGGGCCATGATTTCAGATTTACTTACAGCACCATCACATTTTAAATTAAATTGCAGGCCATTTATAGTGGTCTATAAAGGTTTGTTATATATTGTATCTGTTGCTTATGAAAGTAAACTGATGTTCATTTTAACCTACAGAAAGATTTGTAATTTTTTTTTTTCTCCCACTTTTTATGACAGGAATGCCTTGATGGGTTCACACAGGCAGCAGAAAGCGAGTTTGGCTGTCTCCTGACTGGAGGGAAGGTGGTAGTGGCAACAGAGAAGTGGTGGAGGCTGGCTTCTCAAGATGTGATGCTGCTTTGCTGGCTGGTTTCCTCTCTGTCCACACATTCATCACGAGATTACCCAGTGTATCTACCACAAGGGAGCCCTACGGTGAGGTGACACAAGAATTACTTATGTAGGGTATCAGAGGAGACCTTGATTGTACATCAGAATATTATTAGACGCTAATCACTGTAATAGTTCTTGGGTATAGTGTAGGGTAGGGCTGCAACAACTAATCAACATAATCGATTATAATCGATTATTGAAAAAGTTGTCAACTTTTTCAATAATCGATTAATCGGCTCCTGATTGGTTGGCCCTGTTCACGGCTTAACACACGCTGCGTGCCACACCTCCTCCCCCACCTCACGCTCGCCGCTGCCAGACCTGCCCGCATTCACGCTCCCGCACCTCCTCCGCGCCTCACGCTCACCGCCCGTCCAAATCCACGATCGGCACGGGGACGCGGGGAGAAGAAGTAAGGAGGAGCAGGTGTGGGGGGGATGACAGCCGCTGATAGACAGGCCCGATCTCAGAAACAAGTTGCTGGAAGACTGTTCAGGTAAGCCTGCACTCCCACCCACACATGGTGCTCTATAATGTATTGCTGGGATATGTATTCCTCTATAGCTGATGGTACATTGTGCTGTATATTATACAGAGCAATGTACCATCAGCTATAGAGGAATACAAATCCCAGCAATACATTGTACACTGCATGTATAATGTTTTGCTGGGATTTGTTGTACTCCTATATAGGCGGTGGTATTCTGCATTGCACTGTATAGAGGACTACAAATCAAGGAATACCACCAGCTATAGAGGAGTACAACAAATCCCAGCAATAATACATTATACAGTGGTGCAATGCCGAATACCACCAGCTATAGAGGACTACAACACCCAGCAATAGTACATTATACATTGCAATGCAGAATACCGCCAGCTATAATGTACTATTGCTGGGATTTATTGTATTCCTCTATAGCTGGTGGTATTCTGCATTCATTGCTGTATAATTTTACACTTTTCATTTCACTATATTGTACACCACACTTTTTTTTTCTTTGCTTTTTTTCAAGCTTGCTCCTGTGATGGACTGCAATCTCAATACAAACTAGAAGTCCCATCACGGGAGCCATTTTTTAAAATTTATTTTATTTTTTATCCGATTTAACCGATTAATCGAACTTAATAATCGGCTAACTAATCGATTTTGAAAATAATCGTTAGCTGCAGCTCTAGTGTAGGGCTGCAACAACTAATTGACTAAATCGATTATAATACATGATTGAAAAAGTTGTCAACTTTTTCAATCATCGATTAAGCGGCTTGCGATTAGTTGGCCCTGTTCACGGCTCCACACACGTTTTGCGCCACACCTTCTCCCCACCTCACGCTCGCCGCTACCTGACCCGCCCGCATCCACACGCCGCACCTTCTCCCCGCTTCACGCTCACCGCCCGCCCACATCCACGATCTGCACAGGGACGCAGGGAGAAGAAGTAGGGAGGAGCAGGTGTGGGTGGATGACAGCCGCCGATAGACAGGCCCGATCTTAGAAGCAAGTTGCTGGAAGACTACTCAGGTAAGCCTGCACTCCCCCCCACATGGTGCTCTATAATGTATTGCTGGGATTTGTATTCCTATATAGCTGATGGTACATTGTGCTGTATGTTATACAAAACAATGTACCATCATCTATAGAGGAATACAAATCCCAGCAATACATTATACACTATGTATAATGTATTGCTGGGATTTGTTGTATTCCTTTATAGCTGCTGGTATTCTGCATTGCGCTGTATAGAGGACTACAAATCCCAGCAATAATACATTATATACAGCGCAATGCAGAATACCACTAGCTATAGAGGACTACAGAACGCAGCAATAGTTCATTATACAGCGCAATGCAGAATACCGCCAGCTATAATGTACTATTGCTGAGATTTGTTGTACTCCTCTATAGCTGGTGGTATTCTGCATTGCGCTGTATAATGTACTATTGCTGGGATTTGTAGTCCTCTATAGCCGGTGCCATTCTGCATTCATTGCTGTATAGTTTTACACTTTCCATTTCACTATATTGCACACCACACTTTTTTTTCTTCTTTTTTTACTTGCACCGCTCCAAGCTTGCTCTTGTGATGGACTACAATCTCAATACAAACTAGTAGTCCATCACTGGAGCAATTTTTTACAATGTATTACATTTTTTATCCGATTCAATCGAACTTAATCGGCCAACTAATCGATTTTGAAAATAATCATTAGCTGCAGCTCTAGTATTGTGTAGTCATTGTAGGGTGTAGGGATACCTGGCATGTAACAGAGCTCACTATGGCCTCATACTCAAGGGTGCATGAAGCCGTAGAACATAAAATGCAGGCATATCTCTGCACCCAGGATACATAGCTGCAGCGCACAGCCGCCCATATTGGCAAATGGGTATAGGCGGCTGCATCATGGGTTGTACGCTTTATGCATGCGCGGATTTATGCAAGTAGTGGCGTAAACGGTATCCTGCTTCATACTATGGGCTGTAGACCACAGCTGTGTATCCCTGGCGCAGAAATGCGTCCACAATTAACATTCTACAGCCTCACACGTCTGTGTGCATGAGGCCTATAACAGGCAAAGCATGTTTGTACATTTTTCTTCAGAAATGTAATTATGCCTTTCTATCATCTTCATCCTCCTGTTTTATGAAGTAATACATCTACTGGGCACCTTTTGTAATGAACTAAGCCTCCTCAAGCCAACCCTACAGTCTGCTTCACAACACCAAGTTTATTAGAAACATTCTTTCAACTGATCACTTTAACTGATGTTTGATATTTCAGGGGATTTTGGCTTTGCAGTATTTTATACAAGACTGGGATTTAACTTATTTTTATAGTAAATGACAGTGGGAGTGTCTGCCTCCTGGGTATACTCCATAGCAAGATGTACACGGGCCCCCTGCTACATTAGTTGGCAGTTAGGGTTGTGATCACTTCTACAATGACTGGGTCTCTGAAAACTGGAGTGGAGATTTGGGGAATGAGCACAGTGTGCAGTATACCTGCCCCTAATATGGGCCAACTTCTGCTCTCCTGCCAGGTAACATACTGTTGAGCTAAATTATCTCATCCTCTTGACGCTCTGGGAAATCAGAGGTATGATCTCTGCTTAATTTACTGGTAATGAGCGGAGGTCGCTCTTCAGGATTGCAACATAGATAATGGGAACAGCCATCCAGTGGCAGGAAGAGTGAGACTCCAACTGTGGCAGAAATATCTCACTGCATGAATTCCCAGTACATCTAAAACCAGCAGGTGACCTAGCCCCCAGGCTCCACTTACAACTGTAAACATCACTTTAATGGATAGATACGTTGTGTATGGTTTTTATATCTTGATGCAATTTTTACCACCACTGCATACCTTATGGTGCATACAGACATCACAACATCCATACCATAGAGTTGTATAATCTGCAAGTCCACAGAAGCAATTCGACTCCATTGGTAAGCACTTGCTTGCTTGGTGGCCAGAAAAAAAAGATAAGAA